TTTCACTCTAAAAAAAAAAAAAAATTAAAGAAAACGATTAAAACAAGTTGCAAATGGCTCTGCCAACTCCCAGCCACCATCCACCTTGCTGGGAACCGCTCTGGCCCGACCTCTGGCACGCTGTTTTTGGAAGAACCGGCGTGATGCTCTGCCCCGGCCGCACCTTCCTCCACGGAACATCAATTATTGCTTAATTCTCCCTTCCCATACTGGCCTTTAGGGTTATTTACATTTCTTTGGCTTGACTTGAACTCAACAGTCTGGCACTTTCTCTCCAGCTGCCAACACGGAGCCGCTGCCGCGGGGGGCGAGGAGTGCGGGGGAAGAGGCCACCACGAGGAAAACACGGGTGGGCTCCTGCTGGTCGAGCGAGTTGTGCTTCTCCCAGACGAAACAGGACAACTTGTGTTGGGCACAGACTCATCCGGAGTCGATCCGCCGCTCCCCGGGGATCCCCGTCGGAATAATCCTCCCAGTGCCACGGTCCCCACGGTCCCCACGGCCTCGGCGTGCAGGGAGCGGGGCAGGGCCTGGGGGAAGGCGCTGTGGACGCCCCCAGTGCAGGGCAGGGAGCCCCATCCTCCCCCCCCAAAAAAACGCCCCGAGGGCGGGCAGCCTCGGTCCTGCCCCCAACCTCCCGCCGAGGCGCTCAGACCACAAACTCGGGGACTTCGTCGTGGGTGAGGTCCAAGGAGAAGTATTTGCTGGTTCTTTTGACGGGGAAGCTCTCCTGGATGTTGATGCACTGCTGGGCCAGGCAGCCGTTGCAGTAGAGCCCGTCCTCGTCCAGCCCGTGGGCGCAGCCGAAGGTGTAGCTCTGCGCCGTGTCCTGGCACAGGTTGGCCAGCTGCAGGAAGTCCTTCTGGTAGAGCCGGATGTCGTCCAGGCTCAGGCTGTGCCGGTCCGTCGACGTCTTCGGTTTCCTGCACGACGTCTGGGGGAAAAAAGCAAAGAGGTTTCAGGAACCCTCCAGGAAGCCAAGGGAAGCCCGAAACCCCCGGTGGCAGCCCCACCAAAAAAAAAAAAAAAACCCACGGCCACGCACCTGGGGCAGGGAGTCGGTGCTCTGCCCCCGCAGCTTCACCACCGTCTCCGAGGAGCTGGAGGTGGAGGAGCTGATCTCCTTCACGATAAGCCCTGCAGGGAGAAGGGAGGAAGAAGAGGAGGGTGTGAAGGTTATTTTGAGGTGCCTCAGCTCTCTTGGGATCCAGCCCTGTTCCCTCTGGGGCTCGTCCCCTTCTTTGGGGCAAAGGCACCCCTCTGTTCAACGGGGTGCCACTGCCTAAAAAGCATCCCAAATTTGCCCCCAAGAACTGCATCCAAAGCCATCCCCAGGGAGCCTGGTACCTCAGAAACCTCCTAGTAGCTCCCAGCACGGAGCTGGAAATGTGAGTGACTCCCTGGGTGCAGGCACAGCTCCAGAGAAGATCACTGAGTCCAACCATTCCCCCAGCACTGCCAAAGCCACAACTAACCCGTGTCCCCAAGAGCCACATCCACATGGCTTTGAAATCCCTGCGGGGATGGGGGACTCTACCACTTCCCTGGGCAGTCTGTGCCAGGGCTGGACCACCCTTTCCATGTGGAAATTTTTTTCCCTAATATCCAATCTAAACATCCCCTGGCACAACTTGAGGTAGTTTCCTCTTTTTTTTTTGCCTCATCTCTCCTTCAACCCACTCGGGCGAACGGCTTTTCCTGGTGTCCCAAATGGACACTCTGGGCTCATTCCACTCTGATAAACACCAGAGAATCACAGAATTGACCTTGGTTGGAAGGGACCTTGAACACCCTCTCACTCCAAGCCTCAGAGATGTGACTTGGACTGGGGAACTGGAAGCGAAAGCGGCCGCCACCTTACCCGAGTGCCCGTTGAACTTGCGGGACAGCAGCATGTCCTCGGTGATGTAGACGCACATGTCGGGGCTCACCTCCATGTCTCCAGCCTGCTCCAGCTCCCGGGGGTCATCCACCAGCATCTCTATTTCTGCCCGAGACAGGAAGGTGGGATGAGCCCCTGACATGACTCTCCCAGCCCCGACCAGAGACTCAGGCCGGGAAAAGCCCAAATTGGTGTCTTACCGTCGTCCTGGGAGTCCTCCTCCAGCCGGTCCTTCCCGCCGCTCTCCACGCCGGAGGTGTGGGAGCTGCCGTGGCTGGTCATGGAGCTGCAGGTCTTCAGCTTGCGGTGGGCGCCGGCGCCGGAGAAGCCATCGTCGGGCCCCATCTCCCTGGGCTTGGGGTCGGCCTCGATGCCGGAGGTGTGGGAGCTGCTGTGGCTGGCAGTGGAGTGCCGGGAGAGCCGCTTGTGCCGGATGCTGCCGGCGCTGCTGCCGCTGGCACGGGAGCGCTTCTCCAGCTGCTCCATGTCCAGGTCGAGGGTGTCGCTGATGTAGGATTCCCGGTACTGCTTCTTCTCTGCAGGGTAGGACAGTGTCAGCAGCCTGCATCCCGATATCCCAATCCTCCAGGGCGCCCTGGATTCCCTGGAAGGGCGTGGGCCACGCCAGCACACTGGGGCGCCCAGGGGAGCTGTCACCCCAGCCCAGCGTGGGGACACACCTGGAGCCAGCCTTGCCCTGGTGGCATTTAGGGATGGACCTCAAACTTGCTGTGCTCTGTGCTCCTGTCTCTCAAACGGGGAGGAGGAGGAGGAGGAGGAGGAGTAAGAGTTGAGGAAGAGGAGGAAGAAGAGGGGAAGGAGAAAGAAAAGTAGGAGATGCAGGAAGAGGAGGAAAAAAGAGAGGAGGACGATGAAGATGAGGAGAAGGAAGAAGACGAGGAGGATGAGGAAGAAGAAGAAGCTGAGGAGTAGGTGGAAGAGCAAGCAGATGAGGAGGATGAGGAGGAAGAATAAGATGAGGAGGATGAGGAGAAAGAAGAGGAGGAGGAAGAGGGGAAAGAGGAAGATGAGGAAGACAAAGGAAGATGAGAAGGGAAAAGAGAAGAAAGAGTAAGGAGGGAAGCAGGAAGAAGAAGAGGAGGAGGAAGAGGAAGAAAAAGAGGAAGAGGAGAAAAACAAAAGGAAGATGAAGATGAGGAATAAGATGAGGAGGAAAAAGATGTGGAGGATGAGGAGGAAGAAAAACAAGAGTAGGACATGGAGAACAAATAAGAAAAGGAGGAGGAAGGGGAAAAGGAAGACGAAGAACAGAAAGAGGAAGATGAGGGGAAAGAGGAGGAAGAAGATCTGATGCTTTCACAAGAGCTTTCTAAGCTTGGAGATGGGATGAGGGGCACTGGGAAATGCTGCAGGGGGGCACTGGGAGGAACTGGGCCATCAGGAATGGCAGCAGGACTTGGATCCTGTATCCCTTAGTATTATCCCTTAGCAGAACTTGTATCCCTTAGTGTCTGTGAGATTATCCTGCTGGGCAGGGGTGGGGTGTGGGACGCACAGTCCAGGGGGATGCGGGGACAGCCACCCTCCCGACACCCTCCCAGCCAGGGGGCTGGCACACCAGGCACTCTGAGAGGCAGAAATGCCGGGTGGGAGCCTGTCACGGGTGGGATTTGGGAGCCTGGCACGGGGAGGGAACCTACCCTCGTTCTCCTCCAGGCGCCGGACCTGGCGCAGGACGGGCTGCAGGTTCATGTAGAGCCGGTGGCTGCTGCTCAGCAGCTGCAGCAGGTGCCGGGAGCGCAGCGGGCACCCCGTGTAGTAAATGAGCTTCCTGGCAGAAGGCAGCCCGTCAGGCAGGATCTCGAACTTCTTGCCCTGCGTGGGAGAAGGGAGGGATCAGCCCCGAGGAGGGAAATGCTCCAGTTCTCGCCCCGTCCTGCTGCAGCCCACGGTTAACCCCACGGATTGGAATCACCCGCCTGAGGTCTGGGCAACTGCACCCCATGCCCAAATCAGAGCCCAGGAGATGCTCTGCCTTGGGATCATGGAATCACAAATGGATTTGGGTTGGAAGGGACCTTCAAGACCACCTAGTCCAACCCCCTGCCGTGGGCAGGGACACCTTCCACTAGCCCAGATTGCTCCAAGCCCCATCCAACCCAAACTGGAACGCTTCCAGGGATCCAGGGGCAGCCACAGCTTCTCTGGGAAACCTCTGCCAGGTCTCACTATCCTCACAGCCAAGAATGCCTTCCCAATATCCCCTCTAACCCTGCCCTCTGGCAGTGGAAAGCCATTCTTCTTTTTCCTGTCCCTCCATGCCTTGTCCCCAGTCCCTCTCCAGCTCTCCTGGAGCCCCTTTAGGCCCTGCAAGGGGCTCTCAGGTCTCCCTGGATCCTTCTCTTCTCCTCATGAACCCCCCCAGCTCTCCCAGCCTGTCTCCAGAGCAGAGGGGCTCCAGCCCTGGGAGCATCTCCGTGACCTCCCCTGGACCTGCTCCAACAGCTCCACATCCTCCCTGTGCTGAGGACCCCAGAGCTGGAAGCACTGCTCCAGGTGGGAATGGTGGCACTCACCACAAAAACCAGTTTCCCCACATTTGTCCACGGGAAGTCGTAGAGCAGCTGTTTTTCTTCATCCAAGTTCTGCAAAAGGAGGAGAGGGAGCCCTGGCTGAGGGTGCTGGCAGGGGCAGGGAGCAGAGCTGAGCCATCACCCTCCCTCAGCCACCTACCTGGAAGATCTGGATGCCCCGTGTTGTCAACCCCAGAGTCAGGGAGGCCTCCACTTCCCTTTTGTCCTAAGGGGATAAAAATCAGGTGGTTTTAAACACACAATTTGCAGCACGAAGTGGAGAAATCGGCCCCAGCTCAGCCCAGGGATCCTCCTGCAGTCATTCCAGTCATCATTCTATGATTAACGTGCCAAATTAATAATCTAATCATACTGTGAGGGTGGGCAGGCCCTGGCACAGGTTGCCCAGAGAAGCTGTGGCTGCCCCTGGATCCCTGGAAGTGTCCAAGGCCAGGTCAGACTGGGCTTGGAGCAACCTGGCTTAATGGAAGGTGCCCCTCGTGGAACGAGTTGATCTCTTAACGTCCCTTCCAACCCCAACCAGTCCTTGTGCTCTCCCAAAAGCATCTTCTTTTTAACTTCAGGATGCTACAAAAAAGGTTTATGAGGCACCATCTCCCAGCAAACCACCTGCTTTGTTCCCAGGAGAAAGACACAGCGTATGACTCTTGGGGATGGGGCTGTGCAGGACTAAGGGCTGCACTCAGTGATCCTTTTGGGTCCCTTCCAGCTCAGCATATTCAGTGATTCTGTGACGTGTTTCTTGGAGAGGGGATCGCCAAAAATAAGATCCCAGAAACCCCAGAACCTCCTGGATGGGGCTCACCTTGTAGAGCCTGTAGTAGTGCACGGCCACGTCGTCGAGCCGGACGGCCTCCTTGATGTACTTGAGATGGGCTTCGGAGGCCGTCAGGGCAAACTGGTCCTTGTGCATGTTGGGGACGTGCTTCAGGATGTAGTCTTTGCCCCTCTTTGCAACCACCTGTTTTGGAGGAGAGGAGAATTTTGTCCAGCTGCTCCGTGCTCGCTCAGGGCCGGATTCCGCCCCGGAGCTCCCGGGCAGCGGTGATTTCAAGGGAGAAAGGGGAAAAGGGAGCAATATGATTTGTTACAGAGACCTGCAGGCAAAAATAAAATAGATACAGCAGTCAGCTGCTTCTCTCCAGCAGGATTTCCCACTGGGAAGTGCATGTGTGCTCCCTGTGCCCAGCCCACGGAGCTTACACCACTGGTGACACCTGTACCGGGCCGGGAGAGCCATGCCCTGGTCCCCTGTGCGAATGGGGACACAGACCCAGGGCCATCACTCCTCATGTATGAGAGAACGAGAAGATGGGAAATTTTGGAAAAAAACAAACAAGACAGAGGTTGGAAAGGAGAAGAGAAGGGTTCAAAGAGGCCTTTGAGAACCTAAAGGGGCTCCAAGAGAGTTGGAGAGGGACTTGGGACAAGGGTCTGGAGGGACAGGACGCAGGGAATGGCTTCTGAATGACAGAGGGCAGGGTTAGATGGGATAATGGGAAGGAATTCTTGTCTGTGGAGGTGGCGGGGCCCTGGCACAGGCTGGGCAGAGAAGCTGTGGCTGCCCCTGGATCCCTGGAAGTGTTCCAGGCCAGGTTGGGAAGGGGCTTGGAGCAACCTGGGCTAGTGGAAGGTGTCCCTGCCCATGGCAGGGGTTGGAACGAGATGGTCCCACACCAACCCCAACCTCCCCCCTTCCCGCAGCTATTTCCAGCCCTGCAGTTGTCCCAGGTTATTAATAACCAGGACTGAGCCGGAGACAGGGATGCAGCCGGAACGGCGGCCGCCTGGGAACCCTCCAGCTCCGAGCAGGGGCCGCAACCACGGAACACTCACCCAGGCGGGGAAATAGGCCTCGGGCTCGAAGTACTTCCCGTAGTGCTTGTTGCGCTTGAAGTCTCCCAGGTCGGCTTGGAGGGCGAAGGCGGTGAGCAGGAAATAGGCCTCTTCCCGCAGGACACACTGGGAATGCAGCACCTGCTTCCGCAGGTGCCAGTAGTAGTAGTAACGTGCGGTCCGGTCACTGCGGGAGCAGGGGACAGAGCGGGGAGAGAGGGCAGAGGAGCCACTTTCGTCGCTGTTACATGGACTGTGCCTGCTCCCCACAGGAATCACCTTTAAGTCTCTCAGGGTTGTCTCCCCCCGGGTTAGGAGTAAGCAGGATTAGGGGGTACAGCAGGATTAGGGGGTACAGCAGGATTAGGGGGTACTGCAGGATTAGGGGGTACTGCAGGATTAGGGGGTACAGTAGGGTTAGTGGGTACAGCAGGGTTAGTGGGTACAGCAGGGTTAGTGGGTGCAGCAGGGTTAGGGGGTACAATAGGGCTAAGGGGTGCAGCAAGGTTAAGAGGTGTAGCAGGATTAGGACATACAGCAGGGTTAGGAGGTGCTGCAAGGGTTAGAGGGTACAGGAGGGTTAGGGGGTACAGAGTTAGGAGATAGAGCAGGATTAGGTGGTGCAGTAGGGTTAGGAGATACAGGGGTACAGCAGAATTAGGGGCTACAGCAGGGTAGGAGGTGCAGCAGAGTTAGGGGGTGCAGCAGGGTTAGGGGGTGCAGCAGGGTTAGGGGGTGCAGCAGGGCTGGGGGTACAGCAGGATTAAGAGGTATAGCAGGGTTAGGAGATACAGCAGGATTAATGGGTACAGCAGGGTAGGAGGTGCAGCAGAGTTAGGGGGTACAGCAGGGTACCCCACAGCCAAGACCATGGGGTGGGAGACCACTCCAGCACCTTTCTCCTGCCAGGAATCTCTTACGGAGTGAGCAGGGCTGACTGCTGAGTCTTGGCTCCCTTTTCCCATTCAGCAGTGTAAATCTGCACTGCAACCAGGTGGAATAACCCAACCCCCCCCCAAAAAGTATCCCCACGGGGCTGTGGATGCCACCTGGTCCCCAAAACCCTGAACATCACTTTGCCCCTGAAACAAGACCTGAAGCTCCCACCCGGCCACAGGCCCAAAGGTGAGTTAAAATCAGGCTGTGCCCTGGGTTAAACTCCAACAAATCCCTAAACGTGATGTCCCCAGCCCCCCCCGAAAGGCTCTGCATCGCTGGCTGGGAGCAGTGTCCCCACCTGCCCCCTGTGCGGCAGGAGAAGCCACTCAGCACCCACCCCCAAGCAGCTCCAGCTTTTGGGATGCCAGCAGGATTCCACAGCACCCCGAGGCTGCACACCCACCCCAGCAGGTGCCCAGGTGAGCAGGGACAGGGTGGGGTGCACCCTACCTGATCAGCCTCCCGTTCTCCACGTAGTACTGCACTCGGAAGTGGATGATCATCGGGGGGCCAAACTGGTCGATCCCCTGGAATGGAGGAGATTTTCAGGGTTCCTGTGGAGACCCTGGCATTGTGCCCCAGTCCCTCACCTCAGCTCTCTGGGGGTCACGTCCTTCAAGGCCACCCCTTGCCCCACATGGGTGAGTTCACTCTGCTGATGGCATTTTTTTCCTCAGTTAAGAGTCTGACACCCATTTCTCCCCCCTAGTCCTCTGGAACTCGAAGGGGATTTGGATTTAAAGAAGCAGGTGGGTGGGGTTCAGACCCCAAGGGGGGGGCTGCATCCCCCCCCACTGCTGCTATCCCTCTCCCAGGCCATTATCCACCAGTCCCCATCTCAGGTCCAGCACTGAAGCCTTGACATCGGCCCCTTGGCACCTGGCACTGAAATAATGAAAAGGTGCTTTGTGCAGAGAGAAGGGAGATGGGAGAAGAAGCGACCTTAAAAATTCTGCTGAAGGAAGGAAGGAAGGAAAAAAAATGGCATTTGGAGCGCCAACCATCAACCACCACCCTGGTTTGGTTCATTTTGCACATCCACCCCCCGTCTCCCACACTGGCTAAGTGTCCCCCCCACACCCCTCAGGCTGCGTTCCCAGGTCCTGGAAGTGACCTGCGCCGGGGACAGAGGTGGCCTTACTGCCGTCAGCTCTCCATGCAAGACCTCACCGCTGACCTTGCTGGCCTCCTTCTTCCACTCCTTGGGGCAGTACTTGTAGAGTTTCTGGGCCAGGTCCATGTACACGTGCTCATTGTCTGAGTGGGACAGAGGCGGTGTCAGCACCCCTATACGTGTCCTGCATCCCGCCAAGCCCTGCCCTGACCCCCCCATCCCTCCCCATCACCTAACGAGGCCACCAAAAGGGTTAATTTGGGTGCACCCCCTCTGGATGCTTCCCCCCCCAAACCTGGTGGCATCTCTCCTTGCTGAGCGATGAGGGCATCAGGCTGGACCAACAAACCCCCTGACTTACTCTGGATGACACTGAGCCCGAAGAGGTGACAGTCCTTCAGCCTCAGGAGGTCACACACCTGCACCAGTAACTCGTGGCACAAAATCTTCACCTGCAAAAAAAAAA